TGGGTGTATTTACATCAATAATGGAAGAGAATATTTGAAATAGAAATTTTCTAGAGAACTTCTAATCTATGGTCATGAAAGGGACTTTTGATGTGCATAATTCAGGACATCGTATGTCAGTTGACATTTTCCCCTGTTCTGAAAAAGCGTAGTTTGAGTGATTGTATATCAAAAGGTTGGCTATTTAAGAGGTACGTGCCTTAACTTGTTTGGTTACTCACTTGCTCTCTCTTGGTCTTTTTCTCTGCCTGTAGCTTGTTCTCTGTCTTGTTTCAGAAGACTTAATAGGAAGGTTCACTAGGGCTTCGATGTTATGAATGTTTCAGATAACAGCTGTACCAAAACAAGAAGCTCAGCATTTAGATACTTGTTACAATTGAAGAACCAAAACTCCAAACATAATACACTGAGCAAGTAAGAGTAAAAGCATTTCAAATGTTGTCCTAAGAAATGCCCAAGGTTATAAATCTGTCAGCTTCAAAGCAATATGGAGGCCAATATTTGGAGAGATTATGCTGGAAAGTAATGGAAATAATCCTCACAATTAGATAATAAAGCCTTTTCATATTAACATAAATGATATTTAAAAATTGCAACATTAAGCCACAGTAAGCATAAGCTCTAATATTAATGGGGCACATAAACAAAAAAAAATGGTTTTATGCTATTTAATCTCAAAAATGGTTTAATGACCCTTATCTGATTATAAAAACAGCACAAGCAACTGTATTAGATAAATAGGACATTAAAAATACTGCTAACTGGTAAGCAGCTTGAAAAAATCTAAATTAATGTATTTTTAAATCAAATGTAATAGTCACTGAAGGAATATTAAAGAGATGTCCTGGATATAACAATGACATTGGCAAACATGAACATGTAGAAAGTAAGTTAAAGAAACACACAGAAAACAAACAAAAAAATAACAGGAAAACAATTCACATGGTAGAAGTTAAAAATTTGGTTAATTAAGTCAAGTCTTAGTTTTGGTAACCTTAGTTGCATCAATCTCCAGACAAATAAAAGCGATGAATATATAGTATGCTTTAAAAATATAATTATACCATTCTCATACTACAAAACCTGGCCAAATGCTTTTCACTGGAATTTGGTTAATTTTACATTAGGAGTCAACTCTTCCATTGGACTAGAGAGAGCTTATGCAACCATCTGTAGCACACCTACTTGAAGCTACCACCCCTCTTTTCTTACTGTTAAGCTTCACCTTAACAGTAGAGTCATGATGACTAATAATGATCCTCCTGATTCCTTCAATATATGAGTATTGATGGTATTTGAGGGATGATTCCTTCTACCCCTTCTAAGTGTTCATTCATTTGTCCTCCTCCTTTTTTGAAGTACTCATGTAATGGAGAAGCATTTCACTCTGCAGGCAATTTACCAGGTTGTGATCTTTTTTTCTTTTTGGTTGTGATCTTAAGTGTCAGCCTCCAAACTTGTAAAATAGACTGCCTCTCACAGGTGGTTGTATGATAAGAGACGTAATCATGTTCTTAGTAGAGCCAACAAGCTCAATAAATACTACCTACTGTTATACTTCTCAGGTCACACCTCTAGTTCCTAGGCTTTACTAACTTCCTCCAAACCCAAGGTTCAAGTCATTACTGGTGGCCATCCGAGAACATCCTAATCTGGGTCACTGTTTGTCAAATTGCTCTTCTGGCACTATAATATTGAATCGTGGATTTGCATGCTACATCAATTGTGCTTGGAAATACGAAAGAGAAACAGATAGTCCTAAAGAACCAAGTATTGTAAAACATTTCTCTCCATCCAAATTGCAAAATTAGAATCACTAGACAGTCTCATTGCTATTACAGTGATACCTTTGAGTCAAAAGAGAGATCTGACTGATATTAGTTGGGTGGACTTTGTGCCCACTTCAGCCATTATGTTATTAGCTTTTATAAGTCTAGTCCAGTTTTGAGGGTGGATACCACTGGGAAAAGCATGTTGCAATGGCAAAGGGATCTGGAGTTAAAAATGGGTCAACAATCTCTCTTCCCATCATTCAATGACATGATGTTTAGATATATTTTCCCCTGCTGCTTACCTCACAAAAACACAAGTTTTTTCTCTCCTCATTTATCATGGTCTAACCTTTTGAACTATAATTTGGAGAAACAGACTGAAAATAACCTCTGTTAACAAAATCTTGTTGCTTTGTTGTGTTTTCTTTTCTCTGGGGAACTGAATATTTTCTTATGGGTTCCCAAATAAGATGGTCATCTTTATGAATCTATTTTCTAATTGGGAAATAGAAATCTAAAAACGCAAGGGAATTAAGATAGTCTAAGAGGTAATTCATTACTAACACCCCAGTTTTGCCATCACTTTTCTGAGTACTGGAAACTTCTCCAGTTTTTCCTGTAATAACTCCAATTTAACTGTGTTGCAGTAGCCTGTGGCATTTATGAAAGCCAGGACTGTTGCATGTGATTACTCTTCCCTTTCCTTAGGAGCTTCTTAGTACCTAATCATTCACAGGAAAGTCTGTCAGCAGGTACAATGCCATTATGCATTTGCCATATTGCCTGTACAGTCTTGAACAATTATGTGTGAAGGTATTGAAAAGGGTGTAGGATAAAATGGAGAATGTTGTGGGAGGCCAATCAACAAATTCAGTCATCTAATTATTCCTACAACAACACAATGAAATTATCTACAATAAATGCCCCAGCCTATGATTTCCAACTAGGAATTTTGTCAACTTAGTTTTTATGAGTTGACACTTCATAATGTGGATGTAGCTATTTCCATCATTCTTGTTCAAATTCTTGTTTCAATACATCAGGTTACAAAGAAATAACATTATTTTTCAAGTCAACACTATTCCTTGTATTGGCATGCATTATTCCCTGTATTGGCAAAAAGGGAAGGCATCGGACTGTTAAGCAAACAATAATTAGTTGCAGCACTCGGAAAGATAGAAATGACTCTTCTATTAAACAGACAGGGTGATTGGAGCCTTTCTTTCTTTACTGACAATTACAGATATGGTGCATCAAGAGGGTTCATAATAAATATCAGTGCTCGCTTGACCTACCAAATATATTTGGGAAAATATAAATGGCAAATTGTCCTTCAGATTAATAGCTACCGTATTGGTAAAGTACAAATCACTTTTAACAGCCACATTACTTTAGTAAAGAGAAGCTTGCTAACTGCTCTTTAATTAAGTACACTTAATGACCTTAAGGGGATTAGTAGTCTTGTCTGATAATCAATAAGCATGGCAAGATTGCTGCCTCATAAACTGGGGTGGAAGAACCAAATTAATCTGTAAAGATTAGTCACTTCTAGTTTTTTTTTTTTTTTTTTTCTTATAGTTTGATTCCACCCAACACTTAGGAAACTCATAATCCCAGTCAAGAACATACCAGTAATTCATTTGTTCTGAAGGCATGTATTTTAACAAACATGGTTGTAAATGTGTTGTCAAAAAGCCAAATGACAAATAATAGATATTTTCCTGCAAATCACTGAAAAATACTCAAAATTATCTGCTGCCTCATTGATATGTGATTGGGTAATGGAGTACAACTAGCTGTGCCACTGTGAGCCTCAGTTTCTTCATTTGTAAAATGAAAGAGGAAGGCTCTCGGGTCCCTTGCAGCTTCTACATTTTATACTTTAAATAGAAAGTAATTTAGATTTATTTTGTGAATTATCCATTGTTTAGTAGCAGGTTAGCCTTGCGCAGTCATACATTGATGGGATATCTCTCATCTTTATTTGCAAAAGCTAGTGTTGTGAGCCAATAAAGAATACTTCAAATGCATTATCAAGAGAAAACAAAACAAATTTAAAATCTGTGAACCAGTTGAGGCAGCATGGTGCAATGGGGACACAAGGAAATGGAGAGTGAGGTAAAATTTGGAGATGATGACTTTGAAGCCACAAATACTTTGTTCAATACAAAAGATGTTAATACAACTCCTACTAACAAGCTACAGAACCTTAAATTGCTCTGTTCTTCTTGACTTTCCTATCTGTGTCGAGTGAGGACTATAATTAGAATTATAATAAGCAAATGTGCTAAGTAATATCATAATACTTCTCATAGCAGATATTTGCTTAGCAGATTGTCAATTGCCTTTTCCCTTCCCATTCTCTGATATTTCCAGGTTATCAATAGATGTAGACATGATATGCAATTTTACATATACAGTTAATCCTTGAACGGGATTTAGGGGTGCCAACCCCCTACATAATCAAAACTCCATTATACAACTTTTGACTTTTCCAAAACTCTTAACTACTAATAGATTAGTGCTGACTGGAATCCATAGCGATTATAGAAAGTCTATTAACACATATTTTGTATATTATATGTATTATATATTCTTACAATAAAGAATATGATAATATGAGAAAAGAAAATGTTAAGAAATCATAAGGAAGAGAAAACACATTTACTACTAAGTGGAATTGGATCATAATAAAGGTCTTCATGCTTATTGTCTTCACATAGAGTAGGTTGAAGAGAAGGAAGAGGAGAGGTTAGTCTTGCTGTCTCAGGGGTGGCAGAGGAGGGAGAAAAATCTACTTATAAGTGGACCTGCACAGTTCAAACCCTTGTTGTTCAGGAGTCTACTGTATATGTAAAATGATACATGGTGTATATGCAATATGCAATATAACTAAATGTGAAATGTAAATTCTACGCTTGTGTCTAAGTACCTATGAAACCCTTTGGAAATAGGGTTATATTTTCATCTATGATTTTTCCACTCTAATACCTGACACATATACATATCAGTTCAGCTAAATAAGCACATATACTTCATATTAGTTTACTGGGTATATTCAGTCTTCAACCTTTAATATCTAGGTCTTCACTGCTGTTTTGAGGCTACCAGGGCAATTGACCTACTTGCTAAAACTATTACGTAATATCTGCTTTTTCTTTTTTAAAAAAAACTGTTAATTATCAAGTTTATAAACTTCAGCTTACATATACAATAAAGTCATATGACCCAAAAGTTGTGTGAAGTAGTTTTAAATATTGAATGATATGAATCACAAGTGAAATTATATACCTATGTAAGATGTGCATTAATCCTAGATTGGCTTTTTCTTACGTTATTTTTGCAGTCACGTTTAACTTATAAACATATGCTAATTATTATCCAAGCAATGCTGGTAAGACTTAGTGACTTGGAGGTCAGGACAAGCCATCTAGCCCACATGGGATAACCTTTTATTAGAAATTTTAAGATAATATAGTAGGAGCTATATTTGCAGGATAATATCAGAAACTTCAAGACCTAAAAAAAAAAAAAAATACAAAAACCACTGCATTTCAAGCAACATTGCTAATATTACAAAGACACTTTAAGTATTTACTGTTTAACTTCTTTAGGGTTAATGATATGAGCAACTCTTCTATGTGGGAAAATGTAAAAAGTTCTTGGAAACAAAATATCTGAGCGAGGGAGAGAATCCCCCTTTCGTAAGTTGTAAACAATTTTGACATTTTCCATATTCTGAGAGTAAAACATTGATCCCATTCTGAAGTTCTTATGTGAGATACCAAATTTCTAGCTTTGCCACTGAATATCCACTGTCCGTATTTGTAGATCTTATTTTTTTCCATTTGTCCAAAAGTAGATTTAAAAAGGTCAGCTTCCCTCCAGCAGGCTATATAGACAATACATGCTTAAATGCTGTTGTATTTTTCTCCCAACAGCTTGTGTCAAGGCTAGGCAAATGTTTCTGAAGCCTTCCCTGAGCTTGTACTTAGGTGCTGGATTCCTGCTCACCACATGGGAATGGTTTGAGACTTCTGCAAACTTTCCCTGTGGGCACTTTCTGCTGCACTTGTTCTAATCAGTGGAAAGGTACTACACCCATTGCTGATGCTTGTAGACTGATGGTGTTCCAGGATGTTTCTCTTGGTGATCTGAACTAGTAATCTTTAAAATGCTGAAATCTGTATACTTGGAGGTCCTGTTCTCAAACCAGAGGCTATCACTATCCTTTAGTCATCAGTTTACCTGAGAAAGTCATTACAAACTGCAAAATACTATTTGACTGATCCTCATGAACATTCTGAGCTCAGTAGCAATAACTTGTAGTAACTCATGATATTTTCTTAATCGATTTCTTCCAGAACAGCCACTGCCATTAAAACAAACAAACAGCCCGGCGGTGACTCATGCCTGTAATCCCAGCACTTTGGGAGGCCAAGGCAGGCAGATCACAAGGTCAACAGATTGAGACCATCCTGGCCAACATGTTGAAACCCCCTTTCTACTAAAAATACAAAAATTAGGTGGGCATGGTGGTGCATGCCTGTAATCCCAGTTACTTGGGAGGCTGAGGCAGGAGGATCACTTGAACCTGGGAGGCAGAGGCTGTAGTGAGCCGAGAACGCGCCTTGTGCCACCGCACTCCAGCCTGGCGACAGAGCAACACTGTTTATTTGTTTGTTTTTAGACAAACAAACATCAACCATTCACACTTGTAAAAAGTTTCCTGAAATTCCCTAGCAATGGGATAAAATAACAATAATTAATATAAAATTACCCTAATTGCCACTGTGCCTTTCTATCACGTCCTATAAATTCGAAGTGTTCCAAATGTGCTGTTGCTACTCCAAACTTTCAAAGAATGACTAAGAGAAACAAACAATATTGAGACCAAGATTCCATTCTGGAGTGCACCAAAACAATATAACAAAGTATTATACAATTATAAGAGAGTATGATAGGGTATTATGCTATTTAGTAATTGCAGGCAGTAGGAGAATGAACAAGGAGGATAAAAAACCTGAGTTAATTCATTTGAAGAGAGATGGACCTGCTAGATAGCCCTTCTCTTTCTCATTTTTACACTTGGGTCTGCCAGAGTCTGAGAAGCCTATAATTTTACCAACATATCCAACAGCCATGATTAAATGTCATGGGGAGGAAATGCAGGAAAGTAGGGAAAGCAGATTTTGCTGCCACCATCTCCTGCTTCATTTCTGAATGAAGGAGCTTGGGAAAATCCCTTCACCTCTGTAGGCCCCCATTGCTCTCCCATAAATATCCATCTCAAAGAGCTCTTGGAAGACTCAAGCTCATCCGTATGTACACCTAGCATGATTTTACTATAGAACAGTGAGTTTTAAATAGATAACTATTTTTTTTCAAAAATTAAAAACTCATATAGTAGTGCCCATGTTCATTAATCTAGGTTGATTTTTTAGCAGCAAGTCAGGCTCAATGAGATCCAAATGGAAAGAAGAAAAGGTTGAGAGTACGAGACTCATCCCCTGGGGACCACTTGGGACAGGACCTTTAAGATACCAAGGGAGCAGGAGGAAACAATGGGGAGCAAACAGGGAGGATCAAGCGTTGGGGATGCCCCAAAACAGACTTTCCAAGGCACCAAATGTAGTTGCATAATTCTGCTCTCGCATAGTCCTGAGCCTGGATCAGGATATGTAATCAGAGAGCAATTAAGTCTTATTAACATCAAATTACACATTTTTACTTTGCAATGGCCGAGTTTTCATTTCTGTTTCTGCCTTGCAAAAAAATATCTTCCTTAGCATTTTCTCAAGTTGGCAGGGTGCTTCTTTTCTCACAAGGATGTTGGAGGCTCCAATGATGGAAGAGTTGATCTTAGACACATCAGGAGAGTGGCCCTGGTCCCTTTGTGTCAAAAGTATTGATAAGTTGCCTTGGAATCAGGTTGTAGATGCCTTCTGCCATAGATTATGAACTGGGGGCAAGGCTTGTGAAACTCTCTGCAAGGAGCATTCTTTTTACATCTTTACTGCCTACAAAATGCCAGGAGAGTTTCCAAGTAAGAGCAATCCCTATTAAAGAAAATAGGACATAAAATAAACTGTTATTACCTGCAAAACAGCTGTATTTCCTTTTCTTCCCAGAGAAACACATAAAACCTCTGTATATTCGGACGTGAAGCAATGTAATAGAACTTTTATTTCTGTAAACTAGATATTTGTTCCATGATAAGTCACATCTGAAGGGAGAAAAAAAAAAAAAGTTGTGCTCAAAACTTTGTCAGCTGTTCCATGGTCACAAAATCAGAAAAGGGATGTTACAAATTGATGAGGCCCATGCTTGATAAAAGGAGGTTATAAAGGCCGAAAACAAGTGCGTTGAGATGGGACAGACAGAGGTCTAATACCAGTGCTGCCTCGTAGGTTTATATGTAACCCAAGGGAAGTTATTTCATCTTTGCAAGCTTCTGTTTCCGCATTATCAAAGTGGTGGCAATAATAGAATCTACCTCATAGATACTGAGTATGTAATAAAATATGTAAAGTGTTAAATATAGCACTTGACCTATCAGAAGCATATAAATGATAGTAGCTATTATGCTAAAATTCTCTCTAGCTAATGGTTGTGCATCACAATTTTATAATATCTAAGGAGACAATGTGAATCTAAGGAGATGAGAATATTTTTAATTTTTTAATTATATTATTATTTTTATTTAAACCCATTGCTTTTCCTAATTGTCTTCTTTGAATACTGGGAATGGATTCTCATCAACTTTCTTATATATATATATATCTTTTACATATCTAGAATCATATGATTTTACAGCTAGGAGAAACCATGAAGTTAGTTCATGCAACTTCTTTGTTTTACAGATGATGGAACGAAATATTGAAACAGTGACATGACTCCTACAAAGTCACAGGTATAATTATGAAAAATAACTCAACGTATTCTGGGCCCCCATCCACTGCTCATTCCAGATAAAACTCGCTGAATTTGAAGGTAAGTCATTATTTCCAGCCATTGTCCATTGACATGAATTCTTTTAAATGTTTCTTACGTATCATTCTATCCTTTTTATAAGCCTTGCTTAATACATTTTGGGTTCTCTGGTCATTTTTTGAAGCCCCCAGGCTAGATATATTTACCCTATCTGGTGTCTAATTTGCAGACAAGGTTTATTAAAGGATTTGTCCCTGATCCTGATCCTTGATTTTCTGTACTATGGTGTCAACTCAAAGGATATACACTGACACATTTCCTGAACACCCCTGGTAAAGGTTATTCTTCTCTTTTGAGCTCTCACAACTCCAAATACACAGATGTGTTTGATCCCCTTCCTAGATGCTACAACCATGGAGGGCCAAGCTCACACAGCTACTCACTCATCACCCAACAGGTCTCCGTGAAAGAGTCACCAAACATTCTCCTTTATTTTATTTCATTTTATTTTATATTATTTATTGTCTATAGAAGAGCAACTTCCAGAACTAGATCAAGAAGACACTGGCGTTTGCCTCTGACTTCTGGGAAGTAAAGTGAAATGGAGGAGAATTTGAGTTATGATCCATCCTCCCATTTAACATGTACCTGGCTCTCACTTGACATACCAGACTGTCCTGTTTTTCTTTTTCACAATTGACTTTTTTCAATGTAAGTGTCTTGACACAAAGATTGCGTTCCATGGACAGAAATATTCAAGGTTGTTATTTGATGTAAAGATTCTACTGATGTTTTAATTTTTAAGAAGTAAAAAGAATTTCCAATATCTATCAATATTCTACTCAGAAATCAAATACTGGTTTCTGGGCCAGGTGTGTTGGCTCATGCTTATAATTCCAGCACTTTGTGAGGCCAAGGCAGGTGGATCAGTTGAGACTAGGAGTTTGAGATCAGCCTTGCCAATATGTTTAAACCCCAGCTCTACTAAAAATAACAAAAATTAGCCAGATGTGGTGGTGCATGCCTGTAATCCCAGCCACTCAGGAGGCTGAGGCAGGAGAATCACTTGAACCTGGGAGGTGGAGGTTGCAGTGAGCTGGGTGACAGAGTGAGATTCTGTGGGAGGGAGGGTGGAAGGCAGGAAGGAAAGGAGGGATGAGAAAATACTGGTTCCCAAATAAAACTAGCAAAGATAACATCCTAGCCAGAAATCCACTTCATTACCTATAGTTGTTGAATGGAAGCTTAATATGAGGGAAACAAATGATTTCTATCTTGTTTTTAGTTTCTCTTATCTTCACCTTGCTTTATTCAGGCATTCATTTGTTCTCATAGGCAACTTGGGATGATGAATAAATCACAAACTGTGGAGTCATGCAGAGCCAGATACAAATCTTAGACTCTTATGCCTGCTTTCTGAATGATTTGTCTCTTTTTCTGTTTCTAACCCCTAAAATGGAGATAACACAGATCCCACAGTGATCCTGGAAAGATTCACTGAAATTTTATTATTTCCTTTTCTCCTTTTCTTTTTTATTAGCCCCATGCTTCCTTCCTGTGATTAAACTTTTACCCTGCCTCCTTTTGATGAAGGCCAAAAAAGTATAGATTTGATGTGAAAAGTTCTATATATCAGTTATGCCTCTTTGAAATCAAAGATTAAATTTTGAAAACTGCTTTCTACATAACTTTATTAAAGCTAATTTGAAATTAGCAATTAATTCCCTCTCCAATTCCAATGGGTAGGTTTACAGGATGTATATAGAAGGCTAGATAGTGACAGAACTAGTTTCAAGTAAAACATCTCTATTTTTTAACCTGAATTCAATGAATATAACCCTTAAACTGAAGGGAGGGTTGTGGGCAAAAGGATGAGAACAAATTCCCCATCCATAAAAAACATCTGGCACAAGGAAAACAGTAGCAAGTCCAGATGGTAATAAGCTTTGACACAGACCAGGGAAAGCTCTATGGGCAGAAACACCATATAGATTGTGTATAAGAAACCACAAGGCCGGGCACGGTTGCTCATGCCTATAATCCCAGCACTTTGGGAAGTTGAGGCAGGCAGACCACCTGAGGTCAGGAGTTCAAGACCAGACTGACCATTACGAAGAAACTCCATCTCTACTAAAAGTACAAAGTTAGCTGGGCATGGTGGCATATGCCTGTAATCCCAGGTACTTAGGAGCCTGGGGCAGGAGAATAGCTTGAACCTAGGATGCGGAGGTTGTGGTGAGCTGAGATCACACCACTGCACTCCAGCCTGGGTGACAGAGGGAGACTCTGTCTCAGAAAAATAAATAAATAAATAAATAAATATATAAATAAAATAAAGCACAAAAGGCAATCTTGAAAAATTAAAAATAAGAACTTTTGTGGCTGAATAGCTAGAATTTAGTCAATATATTAATAATACAGCTTTATAGGACTTTTAATGTATTTATGTTCATGCTTTTCCTTAAAACATATTACAAGATCTGTGACAGTTTTAGCCTGGGCACTTACATTGGCAAAGCATCGTTGTTACTGGGAGTTGAAAGAACCAATCAGAGAAGCAAACACCCATGGTACCCAAGTGGTTTCCATGCTATCAAATATGGTACAATTGGGAGATGAGCAATTGACCTCTAATTGTTATCATTCAGCATGTATTTGGTGGATAGTTTTGCTTAAGGTCTTCTGTAACAATTTATTCCTCTTCCCTTCTATTTTCTCTTCAGGGAAGCTAACAGCTAGTTATTCTCGGTTCATCTATTTCTTATTCAGGGATGCCTTCTTCAATCTACAGAGGCTGGATTAGAGCGCTTATTTTATACTCCTTAGTGGGCAGTACTTCCTCTGTTTAAGGACTTACTATGAATTTAATCTTTTGCTCAGAGCCTGGCCTCCCCATAGCCCAGAACCACATGAATTCAGGGAATGCGCCTGTTTCTTCCCATTCTTCCCCAGGTACCACAGTGCCCAGTGTGTGATAAAATTTCCATCTATGCTTCATCAGTCTGTGTCACGACATTGTTCTAGGCACATGTCACATGCAGGAATGACAAAAATTGACAAAAACTCTGCTCATGGAGCTTATGTTCTAGGAGGAAAATGAGCAAAAAGCAAAATAAGTAAGGTATGCTATATAGAAACGTCAATGGTGATGACTTCTCTGGAGAGAAACAAGGTAGGAAAAGGGGATAGAGAGACCCAGGCCAAACCTGTCATCCAGGAAATTTCAAAGCGTGCATTAGACAAGAAGCAAAAATAACTAATAAGGAAGCATTAACTTTAAGGAGTTTTATAAAAGCAAAATAAAGCAAATAGTAAACGATAGAGGAAGAATAGAAATTAACCTATCGGCAATCATATGAAAGAGGAGAAATAAACACATCCAGGTTTGTTTTTTGAGAAAACTTTAAAATGCATAAACCTTGTAGAGACTGATTAATAAATAAAAGGAGGGTATACAAATAACCAACATTAGAAATAAAAATGGGAGCCTCACTATCTAGGCTGAATTACAGCCCCCCAAAGACATGAGATCCTAGTCCTGGGAACCTGAAAACATAACTTTAATTGGGAAAAGGATCTTTGCAGATGTGATTAAGAATTTTGAGTTGGGAAGGTAATATTAGACAAGCCTAGTGCCTAAGTGTTATCACAAATATCTGTATGAGGAGGAGGCAGAGGGAGATATCTCACACACAGAAATGAGAAGCTATGTGAAGATGAAGCAGAGAGAAATTTGAAGACACTGGCCTTGAAGATTGAATTAATATGGCCACAAAGCAAGGGATGCTGGCAGCCACCAGAAATAGAAGAAGCCAGGAGTGGATGGTTCTCTACAGCAATGGCTTCCAACCTTTTTGGCACCAGGAATTGGTTTTGTGGAAGACAATTTTTCTACATATGTGGTGGGCAGAGGGGTAGGGGATGGTTTGGGAGTGAAACTCTTCCACCTCAGATCATTAGGCATAGTTAGATTCTCTTAAGGAGCATTCAGTCTAGATCTCTGCATGTGCAATTCACAATACGGTTCATACTCCTATGATCTCACAGGATGTGGAGCTCAGGCGGTAAATTTCGCTTGCCCGCTGCTCACTTCCTGCTCACTTCTGTGCGGCACAGTTCCTAACAGGACATGGACTGGTTCTGGCCCATGGCCTGGGAGTTGGGGACCTCTGCTTGAGCCTCCAGAAAGAACACAGTATTGGCAACAGTTTGATTTTAAACTGGTAAAGGTTATTTCAGACTCTGGCTTCCATCACTGTAAGAAAATCAACTCCTTTTATTTTAAGCTACCAAGTTTGTGGTGATTTGTTTCAGCAGCCATAGGAAACTAATATAATCACTCTACTCTAGATCCTGAAGTCATATTAACTAGAGAAAAGTACGAACAACTTTATGCCAATAAACTTTAAAACATAGACAAAACAAATTCCTACAAAAAATGCCAACTAATGAACACGATATAATAATAGATAAAATATGCCGATATCAAAGCCAGACACGAACCTTATAAGAAAATTACAAGCCAGTATCCCTGTTGATCATAGATGTAGGAATCTTCAACAAAATACTGAAAACCAGAATTAACAGCATATTGAAAGGATCATTCACCACCATCAAGTTTATCGCAGGGATGTAAGGATAGTTCGATGTACACAAATGTGTAAATGTGATAAACTACATTAACAGAATGAAGGTTAAAACAATGTGATCCTCTCGGTAGATGAACAAATGCATTTGATAAAATTTACCATCCTTTCATGACTAAAAACTATCAAACAAATTACTTATGGAAGGAATGTACTGCAGCGCAATAAAGACCACATATGACAAACCCACAGCTAACATCATATCCCACGGTGAAAAGTGGAGTTTTTTCTCTGAGATCAGGAACATAACAAGAATGTCCACTCTTGACACTTCTATTCAACATGGTATTAGAAGTTCAACAGCCAGAGCGATTTGGCAAGTAGAAGAAATAATAGGTATCCAAATTAGAAAGAAGTCAAATTGTCCCTATTTGTAGATGGCATTTTCTAACATATAGAAAATTCTAAAGACTC